TAGGCATACTCTAGATTTTCGGGTAGAGGTTTGAGCTCTAACTTAGGGGGTTCCTCCACAGATGGGCGAAGCTGGACTCGGGGTTCTATCTCTAAAGGTTCTCGTTGCCAGCCAACAGCAAAAACATGATTGACCAGCGGTTCTATCTCAAGTTCGTCATCAGAAAGCTCCTCAATCATTAAATCAGATGCATTTGAATCAGACTCACACTCTCCCTCTTGTTGTTCACTGGATATTCCTTGAATGAAATTCACTTCCATGGGTTCATCAGATGGATCACTAGGCTGTCTCCCTAAGTTGAAGATATTGAGGTCAACAGTCATATTCCCAAAAGATAGTTTCATCTGACCGGTTCTACAGTTTATCAAAGCATTTGAGGTGGCTAAGAACGGTCTTCCTAGAATGACGGGGATTTGACTTTTGAGATTGGAAACGGGCTGCGTTTCCAAGACAATAAAATCAACAGGGAAAATGAACTCTCCAACTTTGATCAGAACATCCTCTACCTCTCCTTTGGGAATTTTTACAGATCTATCAGCTAACTGTAGAGTGCATCTTGTCGGTTTAAGTTCTCCTACACCTAGCTGTTGATAGACCGAATACGGAAGGAGGTTGACGCTGGCTCCCAAGTCTAGAAGTGCCTTATCAATGTGAGTGTTACCTATGACGCATGGAATTGTGGGACAACCAGGGTCCTTGTATTTCAATGGCATGGGTTTCGAAAAAATTTCACTGAGGTTGGCAGCTAAGAAGACTTTCTTGGGGACATTGGTGGTTCTTTTCTTAGTGCATAAGTCCTTCAAGAACTTTGCATAAGAAGGGATTTGTTCGATTGCATCTAGGAGAGGAATGTTGATCTTGACATGTTTAAACGTTTCTAGGATTTTCTCAACCTGCGGGGAGTTTTTCCTAGGTTTGAGTCTATCTGGAAAGGGGGCAACGGGCCTATACCTATCTAGATCAGGCTCAATCTCAAGTTCAGCATTTTGGTCATCGGAAGGAGTGTTTTGAATGGGAGAAGGGGTTTGATCCGGTGGCATTCTAACCTGATTGTCTATTTGTTTTCCTGATCTCAGAGTGTGAATTGCATTCAGTTGAGCTGGGTTGTTGGAACTGGATCCAGTGTCTTTAGGGTTTGCAACAGGTTGACTTGGAAATTTTCCTTTTTCTCTCTCACTCACGGCAGCGGCTAGTTGCCCAAGTTGGGTTTCTAACCGGGCTATGGCTTGTGTGTTCGAGTTGAGCACTTGGCCGGTGGTTTGCATGAATGAATTTAGAGTGGTGGATGATTGGGTCAACATGTTGGTAGTTTGTGTAGAAGCTTTGATCATAGCTTCTAAACCCTTTTCTAAGACACTCAAACGTTTGTCATGATCAGAATTTGAAGGATTTGTAGGCTGGTGAGGATGAGGATGTTGGTTTGGAAAAGGTGGGTTAGAAAAATTGTTCGGTGCGTTGAATGGGACAGTGTTTCCCCTAGGGAATTGTTGGTTTGACGCGGGAATAAAGTTTTGGTTTCCATGAGAATTTCCTTGGTTCCAAGCAAAATTGGGATGATTTCTCCAACCTGGATTGTAGGTTGGAGAAAATGGATCATTTCTAGGGCGCTGGAATGCAGCGTTCATCTGTTCTAAAGCATGGTTGTTTCCTAGAAGAGGACATTCCTCTGAAACGTGGGTAGGAGACTGACAGTTATGACATCCCGGGGCAGAAATATGATTGATTTGAGCCGGAGCTCGTTCCTTAACTTCTAAGGCTTCTAACCTCCGCAGAATCGTCGCCATCTTCGCTTCAGATGCAATGTTTGACTCCAGGGAAAGACCACTAGACTTAGATTGGGAAACAGATGAAACCCTGTCATCACAGTTTTCCCACTGCATTGTTTTCTCGGATAGACTCTCTAGGAATTCCCAAGCTTCATCGGCGTTTTTTCTCATAAAATCTCCCTGACACATCGATTCTAAAGATGTTTTTGAAGAATAGTCCAATCCTTCATATATGACTTGGCACAATCGCCATTTTTCTAGACCATGATGAGGACATTGGATTAAAAGATCTTTAAATCGGTCAAAGTATTTCCAGAATGGCTCTCCCGGGACAATTTTGAAATTCTGAATGCTGTTCCTAAGCTTTACCGTTTTGTGAATAGGGAAAAATTTCTTGAGAAAAACGGTGACAAATTCCTCCCAAGTTGAGATAGAATTTATCGGTAAGCTGTACAGCCATTTTTTAGCTTTGTCCTTTAGAGCAAATGGAATAAATCTAAGCTTAATCGCATCTTCGGTTAATTCTCTCATTTTTATCATAATACATACTTCCTCAAATTCCGAGATAAATATATATGCATCTTCTGTTTCATTACCTAGGAATTTGGGAAGCATGTTAATGAAATGCGGTCTAAGCTCGAAATTTGCTCCATTTACTTCGGGGAGTCTTATGCAAGATGGAATTGCATTTCTGGTGGGGTAACACATATCCTGAAGAACTGGTTGATTTGCCATTTCTTGGATTGGTTCAACACGGATTAAGCGATGAAAATTATCCCGAACCCAAAATTGCATACACCAAAACAAATTTTTTTTTTAAAGAAAGAAAGAAAATTAGTTTTTTTTAAGGAAAGAAAGAAAATTAGTTTTTTTTTCTTTTAAGGAAAGAAAGAAATTTAGTTTTTTTTATTTTAATAAAGGAAAGAAGAAAGAAAATTAGTTTTTTTTAATAAATAAAATCTTTTTTTTTAAATCCTAATTGTCTCTAATTGTGAAGCTAGCTAAAGAGGGTGGAATTGAAAACTAGAAAGAAGACTTACCCGAAAGCAATGCTCCAAATTCTTGATCTTCAATCCAAGATTTTCAAGCTCCAAGCGGTTCCTTCACAAGAAAAATACACAAGTTAAAGAATCAAGTTAATAAAATCCTATTTTAGCACCTTCCCCGGCAACGGCGCCAAAAACTTGATGCGGCATAATTATGTACCAAAATTGCAAGTGCACAATTTATCAAGTTATAGTATAAAAAGATATCGATCCCACGAAGAAGGTGATTTTAAGAGATTATTAAACTTGGTTCTTATATTTTGTGCGTGACAATTAGGAATAAAGAATAAGTGTGATTGTATGAGTGGTTGTTTTGATTTATATGCAAGAGGTAATAAATTGAATTTTAGAGGAGAGAAGGAAGAATTAAAGAATAAATGAAATCATAAGGCAAGAAATATGAATTAATAAAATCAAGAAATAAAACCAAAAATGAAAAGAAAATTTAAGAAAGTTAAGATGAAGGATTCAAAAGAGGTAAGAAATCTAGAATATAATCCACTAACCAATTTCAATTACAAAATATAAACTATTCTCTTTTTATCATATTTCAACTTAGATTTATTAAGCATAGATTATCAAACCATTTAAGGAAAGTGTAACCTATCAAATTATCATCTAAGTTAAAATTACTATTCATGATAAGAACAACAACATGATAATAATCCTAGAATTCATAAGCATAACCTATCAAACCATTTAAGGAAAGCATAGATTATCAAATTCTTCTTCTACCGATTAGTTCTCTAGTTGATTATCCTAAACATGAACATTTTAAGTGCAAGAGAATAATTCATACAATATAAAGGAAATTAGACTAGTTTCATATAATTCTAAATTTCCTACAAGAATTAAATTCACATCTTAAGAAATAAAAGAAAGAAGAAAAGGAACTAATTACAAAAATAAAAAGAAAAGAGAAATCTAAACTATGAACAAAAAATAAATCTAATTACAAAGAAAATAAAAATCTAAACTACAAAATAAATTGCAGAAATTAAATGCAAGAAAATAAATCTATTCTACAAATTAAAGTGCAAAAAGAAAATAAAAAAGACAAGAAAGTAAATCTATACTACAAGCATGAATTTAAATCTAACTAATAAGCAATAATAAAGAAATTACAAAAAAGAAATAAAAGAGAAAAGAAATGCAAACCTTCAAATTGCTCTTCATCTCCATCCTCATCATTCAACAAGAGGAGAAAGAACAAATTTAAAGAGGAAAAAATTATTATTATTAATTGCAACTAAAGTTACAATTTTTGGAAGGCCTTCTCAATTAAGAGTAGCCCTCCTCTCCAAAAGGAGTTTACAAAATTTTCACACCCTTAACCCCTCACTCTCTACCCCTATTTATAGTAATCTTCAATGAATATGAGCCCTTGGATTTGTCTTGAGCCCCAAGCCACAATCTCCACCTTTGAATTGATTTTCCAATCTTCATTTGATTTTCCAAGAGAAATTCGGTCCAATTGATTTTCGGCCACTGTAGATGTCCAAATTCCAAGTCCGGTCTCATTTTTCCCATTTGATTTTCAAAATATAAAATGAAGAGCCGGCCCATGAAGTAATCAAGTCCAGGTCCTCAACCTTCCCATTTGATTTTCAAACAAAACAAAGTCCGGCCCATGAAGCAATCCATTCTTTGGCAGTCAACAATTTGGTCCATGAAACTTTATTTCACAAAAATCAATTCCGGTCCATTCACATGAAAATCCAAGTCTCCAGCAGCACTATAAGTCCGGTCATTTGATGAGTTCGGTCACTGTAGCAATTCATAATCTTTTGCATAAAAGCCCAACTCATTTCACTCTTTGCATCCAAGTCCATTTCATTCCAACTTTGCATAAAAATCCAATCTTGTTTGCATCCGGTCTTGTTTCCCTTGTGTAATCTTTTTGCTTTGGGCCTTCACAAATTCGAAAATTTTACTTTGGCTTCTTGAATCATTTCTTCATTTAGTCAATGGGTTTTTGTTGAGAGATGGGAGGTTGAGATTTATTCTTCATTAACCTGTAATTAAAGATAAAAGTAATTATTAGTGGTATATTTATTCATATAAAATAGATAATGAGGGTATAAAACTGTAATAAAATGTGATTATCAACTATGTCTGGATTTTTGAGGTATTCATGAAATGCATGATTCGCGAGCCAAAGTGTATTGTTACAGATCAGTACCCTACCATGAAACAAGCTATACCAACCGTCTTTAGAGAAGCACGTCACCGTTTGTGCATGTGGCACATCATGAAGAAATTTAATCAAAAGGTAATGAATCCCACATATAAACATCATGAATCCTCATTAGATAAATACTGAATCTTTTGTTATATATTTATATTGTAGTTGGCAAAATGCATTTCAAAGATGGATGATTTCAAGAGGAAGATAAATGCACTGATTTGGAGTATAGATATAGATCCAGCAACATTTGAAGTAGGTTGGAAAGATGTTATGAAAGAATTTAAGCTTAAAAGTAATGAATGGTTGTGTGAACTGTATAACATTCGGGAGTCATGGATTCCAACCTATTATGCTGATGATCCAATGGCTGGGTTATTTCGTACTACATCAATATCAGAGAGTGAGAACAGTTTCTTTGACAAATTCAACCGTAGATCTGACACATTGACAGAATTTTACCTCCGATACGAGAGTGCTATGGATAAGCAAATGCATACAAACGTAAGATTAAACTATGAAGGAACAAAGTCGATGCCAAGAATGGACACGCCATTGTTATTGGAGAGGGATGCGGTAGAGTTGTACACTCGAACAATGTTTTATGAGGTACAGAAAGAGATAATATCATCCTGTTATGATATGAGTATCAACAGTATATCAGAACAAGATGGTGTGAAGATTTTTTCTATAAATGACAAAAAGAGACATGGAAAAATGTTTGAGGTAAAAGTTAATAATGGTGATTGAAAAAATAAAAATTAAATCACGATTCAATAGAGTGAATTGCGATTCAATGAAGTGAATCTCGATTCACACCACTGAATCGCGATTCAGTGACTATTTCATACGCTTGTCATTTTCTTTTTTTATTCGGTGCTAATATACATTGTTTTTTGAATTTTAGGTGAAACATGCTGTTTTGAACAATGATGTGCAATGTACGTGTAGGATGTTTGAGAAAATGGGTATAGTATGTAGACATGGTTTTTTTGCACTGAACCAAGCTGATGTAACAAAAATACCAAGACATCTTGTTGTGAACTGATGGACAAAAGGTGCTGAGATGAGGCATTCATTGCAGTTCAAGGAAATATCAGAACAGTGCAATGCAATTGAAGTTACAAATCACAAGTTGAATGATATATGGTATGATTTCCAATCCTGTGTGAGTTTGGCAGGTTTAGATGGTGAGAGACTTGACTACTTGGAAGGGAAGTTGAAGGAGTTGAAGCACAGTTTGCGTGAATCTAGTTGGAAATCTGACACACAAAACAAAAATGATATAATGAAGTTTTTTATTAGCTCAAAAATACCAGCTGAAGTGAATGTTAAACCTCCCATTGAAGGTAGAAACAAGGGGTGTGGACGGAGAATTGTTGGTGATTATGAGAAATCAATTAGTCAACGAAAGAAGAAGGTGCCAAGGCTGTGTAATATGTGCAAAAAACTCGATTTCCATGACACACGGACATGCCCATTAAAGAAAACATTACAGCAGAGTGATGTTTAATTTAGTTGTCATATTTCGTTTCAAAATCATGTTTAGTAATACATTTCTTATTAGAATTGCTGAATTGTGTAATTCTTAACAACATATATTTACTAGATTATTAATTACATGGTTACGTTGTGTCATGTTAGTATATTGAATAGAGATGTACTCATATAGCATGTGAATTTCATTATTATTAGTTGTATTATTTCAATAGGAATGATAAAGTAGTTGTATGCAGTTATCAAATTAAAATTGATTCGCTTTAAGTGATTCTGGACTAACTATATTGAATCTAGATTCATTGTAGTGAATCTAGATTCACTGAATTGAATCTGGATTCACTATAGGGATTCATTATAATCAATCAAACAATCCAATTATTTGATTGATTCGCTTTAAGTGATTCTGGACTAATTGTAGTGAATCTAGATTCATTGTAGTGAATCTGGATTCACTGAATTGAATATGGATTCACTATAGTTAATATAGATTCAATCAAATAAATTACTAAAAACTTAAGATAATATTGAACCAGTAAATCCAGATTAAATACATTCAATCCACAATAAGTATGATTAATTTACTGAATCTTTCATTGTAGTGAATCTGGATTCACTGAATTGAATCTAGATTCACTATAGTGAATCTAGATTCAATCAAATAAATTACTAATAACTTAAGATAATATTGAACCAGTGATTCCAGATTAAAAACATACAATCCACAATAAGTATGATTAATTTACTGAATCTTACACAAAACCTTGAATTATAACTCACATTCTCTGCTTAAATCGAAATTCTTCCAATTGCATTCATTACCTTCACAGTATTTTTATATATCCAAACTATTCACAAATCTAGAAATAAAATTATGACAAAGCTATTATATATTATAAAGTATATTTACATAGAAAAGCAGTTCAAAACAAATTGTTATATTCTATAACATTAATTGCCAATGTACTCAATAACTGTAAACTTTAACATAGAAAATTATGCTGATGACAGAATATCATTTTCTCTGAGATCTTGTGGGCAGTTTCAGCATGGTACTGTTGGGCTTTCCTGATGACTTCTTTGGCCAATTCATTTGTTGAATCAGTAAGAATTTGGTAATAGTATATAGACCTCAGTCTATGTAGCTGATTTTTTTAATCACTCCTTTCGATATGAACAAAAGATCAGTTCAAGATTCGGTAGCTATATTCTAAATTTTACTAATTCATAAAGACTAACTGTAAATTATCAATACATTATTAGTTTAAATACTTACACCCTCTCTATGGAAACCAGAGTTCCAATTTGCTGTACCACCGCCCATGTAGGTCTCCATATGTCTCATGATAAAAATACCATAATCAAATTCGTTTTTGGTCGTTCTCCACTCCATCTCAAGTCTGTCAGGCCTTAATGTATTTATTTCACTCGACTTGTGATGTTTTTTGTGTGCCAAATATCTCACAAAATTCTTGTGCTGTTTAATCAAAAGTAATCAGTGTCACATAAAAAATCCAAATTATCATACAGTAATGTCTAATGTAATATACAAATTATTTTGGTTGTTTATATGGAAACAGTATTCATGACAGTGAATCACGATTCATTGGATCTAGTTCGCCAGGATTTAATAGAGTTAGTTCACCTGGACTCACTCTAATGAATCTGGATTCACACTAGTGAATCTGGATTCACTAGAATTAGCTATAGATAGTGAATCATGATTCCCTAGTGTGAACACAGATTCACTAGCTCTAGTGAATCGAGATTCACAGTAAGATGTGAATCCAGATTCACTAACTCTAGTGATCGAGATTCACTAGAGTTAGCGAATCTGGAATTCTCTGACTCTAGTGAATCCAGATTCACTTATTACTGTATTCTGCCAGTAAATGCTTAAAGCACATACGTAAGGTGGAAAAACATACCAAACCCTCAGGACGACCTTGGTATTTTTCCTTGTAGTCTGGGCAGTTTTTGCTATTGTCAATCAGCTCCATACTTGGATTCTTTAGCCCATAGCACACAATGTAGAAATGCTCAAACGCATTTATGGGGAAGAAGACCTAATGGTTGTGAAATTTAATCAGAGATTTTACAGATATAGTTAAAATTGGGTTAAAGAACAAAAACATTATCTTCAAATCTTTACCATATCAATCTCATTAAACTTCATATGTGGATACAGAGCAAGTTGCTCATCCATCCAGGAAGCAAACCTACTGTATCTCAATTCATCATTGGACTCATCTGTGTGATGAATGTTGCAAAACTGTACAACATAAAACTGGTTAAATAAAATGCAACTCAAGTGTTATTTTAAATTAAATAAAGGAAGATACGTACGGTTGTCTCAACATTACAGAAGAATCTAAGTGGAGAATTTTCAGACTTCATTTTTTTCTGCTGTTCAAAATATAGGACCAAATGCTGATTAAATTTGCCTCAATGTCCTCAGAAGGAAGGAAAGTCTTGAAAGCAGGTAAGAAACATTCAATTTGTCTCCACTTAAAAACCATTTCACTGAAAAAACAGTAACAATATTCAATTTAATAAAGCGACAAAATACTAAAAACAGTGAGTCTCACACCTAAAAATAAAAGATCAAATAAGATTTAAGAACTCACAAATTCTCTTCTTTAGCAGAATCATCACCTGAATGCCTTGCTTCTTCTCTATGCACCCAATTCCATATGATGCTTTCCAGCTGACTTTGCCTAGTAGTAATCTGAGATACCCTCTGCACCCATGGTGACCGAAGAGACGTTGCAGGCTTCACCATCCTCTTTCCTTTCCCCCTTCCTGCATGTCCCTTATTTTCGGTCACATGAACTTTTTTACCTTTTTGTTCATCTACTGCAGCAGCATCTTCAGCTTGTTTATCAGTTGTTCGTATAGAGTCATCAATGATCTCAGATTCACAAGCTCTAGCAATCTGAACAACATCAACCATTTCCACTATCTTAGTCTGAGTATCATGTGTCAGCCCAAGAGAAAAACTAGGTTCTTCAGTCTGTGGGGTACCAGATTCGCTGAGCTTGCGCCTCACTGGTCTGTCAACCTTACCTATGCTAACAGACTCTATAATCTTATCAACCTCTTGAATAAAATTTGGGGAGACTTGTGTTTGTGGTAACTCAGCTGATATTGGATCAATAGCAGGGGAACCATGCATATCTCTACTCACCTTGGTGTTCACATTAGGGGTATCATCAATAATGTTTCCCACAGCTGTTTCATTGTCACAGGTACTTCCACGATGTCCACACCCCTGCACAAGAACATTTGAAACTCTTTGTTGAATTTGAAAGAGCTCGTTGTCATTGGGGAACAGCTTTCTCATTGTCTCACACTCAGCATCATATCTATCTTTTGCAGATTCTAACTCTGCAGCTCTCCGTTGCACCCTCTTAATATAATCCTGTAGTTTGAATATCACAGACATTGGTCACCATAAATTATTAACATGGCGAGAGACTAGATTCGATAGATTGAGATTACATTCAATGTATTTGAATCGAGATTCAAATGACTGAATCTAGAGTCGACTAAAGTAAATCTAGTTTCACTTTAGTGAATCGAGATTCAGTATCAGTGAATCTAGATTCACTTCAGTAAATCGAGATTGAGTATCATTGAATCCAGATTCACTTAAGTGAATCGGAATTCAGTTTAACTTAATCGATAACCACTGATCTGAAATGAGATTCAGTATTAGTAAAACGATTCATTGAACTGAATTGACATTCAGTTTAAGTGAATCTCGATTCACTCCTACTGAATTGAGATTAAATTGAATAAACAAAGTCTTGCAACTTAATTTGCTAACCTTTCGAATTGTCTTAACACTTTTAGGCGAGTTTCCAATACCACTCTGCATTCGAGATGAAGGTGCAAGTTCAACCCTCTCTGTAAATGCACATTTGCCAAATAAATTTGTACTTATTTCCTCTGCCTGTCTTTCCTTCAAGGCTAAGTCAATCCAGCCTAAAAATGTAGGGATTGTTCTCTCAACCAACCTCCTCCCTTTGAACAGAACCTGATCGGCATAGAACAGCTAGAAAGACGGAGATAAGAAATAAAGCACACCAATTAGTAATCATCAAGTAAAACTACTTTAACTACAGTAATGTAAAAATAAATCAATATTATACAAGTGACTTACAATCAAAAATGCAAGAGGACCCGTGTAGAATTGTTTTGTCGGGTCTACCTTCCACTTGTGTTGGCTTTCTATCATTGAGTCAAGCAAGAAAGAACACCAATTGTATTCAGAGCACTGATCAACATTGTCACCAAGAACTAGAATCTGTTGGTTAACATACAGATTACTAAGCGATTGGATCATGCTGTTGTGGAAGAGAACCAAGAAATTCAGTTTAAAAAGCAGGTTAACATTAGAACTCTGCTTCAGTTTCTCAGACACAGCCCCTGGAGTAATTTTCCAACCAACATTGTCTGTGAATTGAGCCCTCCATTCATCCACCAATGCTGACTTCCTAATACTGAAGGCTGGTATACACTTCCTGCCCAGAGGTAATCCCATCACTTGATGTACATCTTCCTCTGTGATACTGATTGATCCTCTGGGAAGATTAAGCGCAACAGCCTCACTGTCAAAGGAGTGCAGAATCTGGTACCCCAACATATGTGGCAGTTCCTTTAATCCAAATTGTAAAAGGCCTCCAAGTCCAGCTAGTCTCACCCATTCTTTTTGGGAGTCAGAGAGTGACAAAACCATATCAGAGAATATCTTTGGAGAGACCCGTATCCTAGTCAACTCCTTAGGTTCAGACTTCACATTTGTTTTTTTCCCAACCTTCGCCTGTGAAAAAAATAATATAATTAGATCAAATTATCCATCAGTTAATACACAAAAAAAATTTAAAGATGTTTAGTACACCAACATTTTTCATCCTCTTCCTTCCTTTTGTGATCTGTTCACTGTCTTGATCCCTCCTACGCTTTGATGTATCCTCACCGGCAGGATTATTTGGGGGGTTGATGAAGTCCTCG